GCGCCAAGAGAGATCATATGGGTTAGCGCCTTGAAAAACTAGTCATCGATAATAACAAATAAATATGGTTTGTCTAAAAGTTGCCAAAGGTGCACTATTTTAATAAATTCTTTACACCTTTTAGTAATGCCTTTCATGGTACCTTTGTACCGCTTAGCGCCAAGCGCTAATTCTCGCCTTTTGCAGTTATTAAGAGTTAACGGTCGAAACTTTAGAGATGATAAGCATCTGACCAATTGAGAAAAACCAGGCACAATGTTACGATTCTAGAGATAGCAAGGTTTTCTGACAATAATCCACGCCAAGAGATGAACTTATAAGATTTAAGACATAAGGGCAAAAAGCAAGAGTAAACTAACTAACCTTAAGTAATAAGGGCTAACAGGTTAAGGTCTATAGCAAACGGGAAGCTAATGTGCACAACTATTCCAAAGCTGTGCACAAGCGGAAATAGAACTTAGACAGTAGAAAGAGACTACTTAGAAATTGTGTGTAGAAGCAAAAGTATCTTAAAGAGAAAACACGCGATAGGCACTTCATATAAAAAAAGTAACAGAATCGGCTCCCTCACCCTAAGGTTGGAGTCCTTAAATATATGTTTAAGCGCTAAAAGCAAACGCACATCAGATAATTTTCACGCATTGGCGCACCTAACATAATAATATCCAATGAATACGAAGAGAGGGCCACATGCTAGGTTCATAGCATACGGAAGGAACGGGGAAGCAATTGGAAGAGAAGTCGGAACTAAAAATTAAAAAGGAACAAAGATTGACTGCACTTTATAATAAATAAAGTTCCCGAAATTAAGGTGTAACTCCGCCGGCTTGTTGTTGGGTATCCATATCATTGTTTTAAAAAGATTGATCAACATTTAGATAGAAATTTAGATATAAATATTGTTCAAAATTAAGAAGTTTGGATGCTAAATCATTAGTTTTCTCTGCTCCTATTACCAACTTAGGATGACTGAATTATAAGAGGTCAAGGCTAATGAGTTCTAGGAGGGATTCTAACAGCTGTTATAGCCAGAAAGGATTTTTTCATACCTAATTTGGTTCAGGCACGAGGTTCCTTGGCGGAGGGAATATAACAAACGAATACAAAGGTAGATACAAAATCGCAAAGTTAAACCACCACCTCCCATTAAAAAATAAATTCTACGCCAGAAACCAGTAAATAAAAAAAAACACTACGTTTAAGCAGCACCAAAAAAATAAATGCAACTTCAAACTGAATACGCTTTAAGCCTGATACTATCAGTTATTTTGCGACATCAGGCAGTCTGCACTCTATGTTACCAAGCACTGCACAACCTTTAAAAAAAAAAATTAAAGATTATCCTACTTTACACTCCATTTTATAGCGGTTTGTTTTGTCTACTGGGCTTAACATCAGTTAAACTAAAACCAAAAAATAAAATTAGGAAATCCCAAAAAGAAAAAAAATTAGTAGTCTAAAGGGATAATAGGAACATGTAGAAGTACACTTATTACAGCAATCCAACCAAGCTTATAAGATTGTTTATAGCTGTCGATGCGTCACTATAAGTTAGTTTATATATATGTCTGTAAATAATCCATTCGGTTCAAGCAGACCTTGAGTGTGGATGTAAAGCAATTCTATAAATTAGATTCCTCTTATAAATTACAATGTACAAAGTACATAAAGTACCACATGTTGAAAGACGTGCGGTTCAGATGGTGCTAACACAATTTTTACTTAGTCTATCATTTTATAATTTTTTCTACAATCCCAAGGATTGTGTTAAAAGTTAAAAATAAGGTTTTGTAATGTATGATTTTTTTTTCTTTAGCTACTAATTTTTTAATTGAAGGTTTATCCCTTTACCTCCTTACAGTTAAAAAAATTATAAAATAGAAAATTAAACGAACCCCAAAATATAAAAACATAAACAACAGGTAAAAGCACAGAGGTAAGCGAGCTATATTTCATTAGTTAGTTAATCTTCCCTTTATTTACTTGTTGCTCAAATTTTTTTTTAATTTTTAATTAAAAGCGTAACGCTGTTTAAGCAGTTTGCTTGATTTTACATTGAATTGACAGCAAAATTTATAGCATTATAAAGATTTATTTATTAATGATTAATAGTATGCCTTGCTGCTATATTATATAAATAGGAGCTAGTCTTTGTTTATATGTGTCTTAATATTCTGTTTAATGTGGAGTAACTATATTGCATGGGTCATGAGCACCATGACTCACTGGAGAATATATTGGGTCTTTAGTTGCCTAGCTTTACAGCAACTCCAAAAGGAGAGATCCGCACTGCTAAGTTCCATTAATTCGTTAAAAGGGTAACAAATTATTCGACACCCCATCATTAATTAACCTTTTACTCTCCGTAAAAGTATAAGTACCCTTCCTCTACGAAACAATAAATTGATCGCTCTTCCTCTTATCCTTCGTTGAACTTAGGGTAAATGGTCAAGTTATAAGAAGTCAAACTTCATATCATCTAACAATATGTCTTAATTACTTTACCGACAATCTATCAGTTAAGGATTTTTTCTTTTCATTTTCTGAAAAATCCAATTTTAATTCGTTATTTTATGAGAAGCGGATTTTTGTTTGACGCGGAATGCATTACTTAACTATTCAATCTATAGCTTGTGGCAACGAGAAAACTTGTGACTCTTTTTGTTTTAAAAAAACTAATCGTTCATTTATATTGCTACTACTCCCTTTATTTTTGCTTCTAATTACTTTACCAGTTTTTAAGTCGAGAGTCATTTAACAATGTTCACAGGAGTCACCTACTAAGCCAAGTAATATGCCTTTAGACCACTGTTCTTTAGTTTTCCAAGTTTAATTGTGAAAAGGGGGCCCTTGTGCCATAGAATTTTACCTAAGCGCAGGTCTGATAGGCTATCAGGACTATTGTAAAATTTTGTTAATATTATGCTCCCGTGTTATATTTAAAGAATAATTAACTACCGTGATAGCCCAGATATACCCGTCAGTAGACTCGGGATTGGGGCCTCATAAATTTCTACATACAACTATTTTGCAAGTATTCAGATATGAATATTCTTTTACTGATCTTCAAGGTGAAGGGTGCAGCATTCAAGTTATATTGCGCTAGGGAGTCCTCCTGTCGTACAAAATAAAAATTTAGTATTGGTTTTAACGTAAAGTTTAGTCATTTTAATCCTTCTGCCTTCACCTATTTTTAAATTGAAGCAAAAAATTCCTAACACTTTATAACTAACAGCCCTACCATAACTAAATTTTACTTTGTACCTAAAAAATGAATTCATAAGTTTTGAGGTTTAAGTTTGTTAGCTATATTTGGAAGATAAGAAAATGCTACAAAGTTTACTTATAAAAATTGCTGTCGAGGTTATTTTTTGAACCAAAGTCACTATAAGTAGGGGATCATTATTCAAAATAAAAAGTAGTAACTATGTTACCACTGTTATAAAAATGTTACAGTAAAAGTAGAGTTTCCTTTTCTTTTTCATAAAAAGGTAAATATAGTTTATTGTAAAACCCAAAAGTTTAATCTGCAATAGTTATCTTCACACTTAAAAGCAATTGTAATACGTATTGGCCCTAAAAAAGACTTAAAACGAACTTGTTTTACTAGGTCTCCTAAAAACATTATTTAGATGTGAAAAAAGAAGAGCACTTAAACTCGCAGTAACAAATAGCACTAACCTTTAAAATAATTTTGACGATTTCGTAAATTTTTTCAGGTTAAATGCAACTACCATATAAGAACAATTTAAAGATCAAAGCCAATGGCTCTTCCCCACTGGCTTGCACCTCTGTTTCCACATAGAAAGGGTTAATTCTGCGGTATTTCATACTCATATATTTTTGTCTTGAAGTTTTAAGAACGCGAGCGATATTTGTTTCTTTTCGACCACGGAGTACAATTTTTGTCTTTTATGAGTAGTTATATATTATTTTTTTTTCAAAAGCTACATCTTTAATTTACCAAGACTTTGTTTTGGCCAACGGCGTTTCATTTTAGTGTTACAATAATAGGTTAAATATAGAAGCGCAAATAAAAAAGATAAGGCTGTAGAAGCCAATTTGTTGAAATGTAAACAATATATGGACGCACAAGAAGTGTAAACCTTACAACAACGTGCTCGCTTAAGATATTGGTTAAGTCGATTGTAATGCGAAGTAGTTCAGTAAAAAAGATCTAACTCTATCCTCTCCCTTAACTATTTATTTTCGAAGCTATAGTTTGCTCATAAAACTAAGCTGAATGGGGGTTTGGAACTAATAGTAATTTTTTTTAATCAAGGCCTACGGCGACCGAAATTGAACAAATGACTTCCTACAAAATAACTGTTTTAAGCTTTATGTATAACAGACCTCTTGAATTGCACGTAACGTTTGGATCATGAGGTACAATTTATCAGTATTATTTCCAACATGGTTAACAAACGACTGTTACATCCGAAAATGGAATAAAATAAACTACTGTAGAATTATTTAAAAAAATCTAGGGGATTTATTTATTTCCATAACTATATAGAAAACTTCATAAAAATAAACCGGACCCTGAGCTCAAGTTTGCTTAATACTTCCCTTTATCTTTAAAAGAGTAAAATGTATAAGGACGAAAGATATGATTCTTTAATTTTTCTATGACTTCCTAAATCCCAAATTCTTGAGAAATAGTTGTAGGTATTTCACTATCTCTTCTTTATTTTACTGCTATTTATAACTTGTATACTTCAATACGTAAGGCCCTCATTCAATAAATTAACTACCAAACTCTGGCTACAGTATCTCAAAAAAAGACAAAAAAAATTAGCTTTCAATAATATATTATTAATAATAAAAGCTACTCTCAAACGAATAACTAAAACAATTTAAAAAATTATTAAAAATTTAAAACGTTTTAATAAAAGGTGAGTGTTCATCTTCAACTTCACGGGAGTAAAAGGAAAATATTATAATAAATTAAAAATATTTGAAAGAAAAGCTATTACAAAAGTTAAAACCTTTAATATTTAAGCTGGATTACTTCACGTATCTAATAATTTGTATAAATGAAAGTTATTAATAAAGTTTAAATGTATAAATAATTACTTTTTCATAAATTTTTTATGAAAGTCACTGCGGATGGTGTCGTTAATAAAACGTTTTTCCACTTTATCAGAGATTCCTTTTGCACAGTTTTTAAAAACTGTATCATCCGTCCATCTTAAAAGAGTAGTTAAATTAAAAAAATATTTCTATAAAATTTATTACTTTCGCTTCAAAGAATAATCATCCGATTGATTTAACAATGGATTTCCTAGTAGAAATTCTTCTCTTCTTATTTTTTCTTGTTCTCTTTGCTCTTCAGCAATCTTTTGCAATTTTATATAAGAGGGAAGAAAGACTTCAAAATAAATACTTTTTTTTGTTTTTCACTTTCTTTTTCTTTTTTTATTGCTTCTAACTGTCTCAACAATTCTTCCGTATCATCTTCCTCCTCCGTTTCGCTAAATAAAAAATGAAAATTTTACGTAAGGTCAAGAAGTAGTTTAAAAACTTTTCGTCAGTATCAATATCTTCATCATCCGCATCAACTTGTACTAAAAAGTTAATTTAGTTATCCAAATATTAAAATTCATCGATATAAAAAAACATATTAGTACGTGTAATAGGATCAAAGATAAGGGTCGGCTGCTTTGAGTGCCCTTCAGGCCCAAAAAATTCTTCGTCTTACATTTTATAGGTATGTAAGTTTTTATATAAATTCTGAAAAATAAATTTCTATGTGCGCTAAGTACATCATCATTCTGAAGCTAAAAAATAACGGAATAAATTAACTTGTAAGCTTTCCTTTTTTCTTTGTCCTTTTCTCCCTTTCTTCTAAATTAGCTTTTAGATCCTGGCCAATTAAATCTTCTGACCGACCCTGCCCAGGTTGCCTAATTTATAATTCTATTTTTTAAAAAGTAAGTGTATAAAAAAAAAACTATATATCTGGAACCTATGCTTCAAGGTCTTATGAGAAGGTAAATCTCTACTACTATACTGTAAAGTAGTACCCTTATCTCTTGCAGTCCCACCTCCCTTGACAGGGTCCCACGTAGGTCTGTGAGCAGTTGTCATGAAAGGATGAATATAAAAATAATAAATTTAATATGAAATCTTTTTTGTAAGTCTAACTAAAAATTTTTTGACGGAAGCCAAGAGATTGTAACGATTTGAAAAGTTACTTTTTTTTTCAATAAAACCACGTGTTGAACAGGTCAAGTGATTTGGTAATTCAATTACACAGATCTGCAAAAATATTTTTTTCAGCTGCAGGGTGTATTTAAGGTAAACTTTATGTTTATGTTTTCTGGGGTGCTGACTCCAAAAATGACTTCCATTTATCCCTATTACGTACGGATTTTTGCAAAATAATAGGGATTTACATTAAAAAATCATAGCGATGAAAAAAATTACTAAATTTATTGCATTGAACTACACATATTGTTTCTGGTAATTAAACAAATTATTCATGATATATTTAACATTCTATTTTCACCAGTTTTTTCTGTAAAGCCCTTTCTTCTTCTCTGATGCTACTCCGAACACGTTTTCGCTTTTCATTTTCCGATTTCCGCTTGATTATTCGCTATCAGTAGTCAGTTAGCATATTCGATTCCAACCTTCCTTGTTAGCGTTTTTTAATATCACGAAAATCCAGGTGAAATCTTCGCCCTGCTCTTCACTATAGGATTCCAAGTTTCGGGAAAATAATCGACAAGGGAGTGTATAAATAAACTTTTAAGCTTATCTTCCAACCTTGACCCTTATCTGCAGCCAAACCTGCGTTGCATATAGGTTTTGTAGATAGCGTCGTTAGCGTCCCCCAAAAACTTATGCACTACGTTTTTGAAGGAGTCCCATGCCTCTTTTTCTTTTTCCTCTCATGTTTATTGGTTGCAGGTCTATGATATTATTAGAAACTAAGTTCTACCGCTTCCGGTTAGCTTTCAATTTTGGGTGTGGGATGCCTTCCGGTTTAATAAGTAAGTAAAAGAGCGCGTTAGGACTCAATAAATGATTTCCAGTCCTCTTATGGAGGCGCCCACTCTTTAGCGTACTGAGAAATTTAGCATTCGTAATGAAACAATAAAAATGAATTTGCAGTAACGCTGCCTCGGTAATTGTCACGGTATTACAGCTTAGTTCTCGAAAATTACTCTTAGCGACATAAATTGTCAGTTGTTTAATTTAGTTGCGTTTTAGCAAAAATTATTAGTTGTAATTGTAGTTCAGGAAAAATAAAAAACAATATCTCGTATGCAAAATCCTTCTTTTGAAATAAATAAAAAATTATATAACTAACAACTTATCATTAAATACTTTCGTCTATTCTCGTTTTAACACTCTTATAAACTTGCTTGGCTTCTTTGCTTGGGTAAATTATTAAAAAACTAGGAGGGCCTGTAATGTAGGTGGGTCTTTCCCAGCTTAATTTATATAATAAAACAGGCCGAGTTTACAAAAGCCTATAAACTCTACAAAAAGGTGGGGAAAAGTAAGTTTTACCACATAAGTTAAACTTACTCATTTATACAAGCTCAATTACAGAAATAGTAAGAGACAAGCTATGTTTTAAATCCTCGAGTTACTGATAAACTTTTTACTTAGAATTAATGTGCAAAACTTTAAAATTTACCCAACACTTTTTTTTCCCGTAAAGATTATAAAGTAAAGATTGCATTAGGCAACTTTCTTGGTCTTCAGATACCGCATTACCTTTTTATTGATATCCTTTACGTAGTTAAATATTTAATAAGGTGTAAATTTTATAACAATTGCTATATTTTCGTCGACTTTTACTTTAAGTCTCGAGGGTATATGAACACTTGTCCACAAGTCGCTATTTAAAATAATTTTTAAAGGATAACCAATTATTACAATTTGGGATGGATAAAAACTTTTTTTTAATAAAAAAATTGTAGGTAGGATTTAAATTACCAACCTGCTAACAGTTTAATGATGCCATTTTTTAACTATCTGCTTTACAGCGGTTACTATAGGTAAAAATCTAGTACAAAGGAGGAGTCTTCATCCTTACCTACCTGCTCTCATCTCGTGATAACAAGTCACGACCTTAAAGCTTTTACACCGTGACTTTTTTTGCTCGTCTCTTTGTGCAATGGTGGTGGATGTTGATTCCCAAGCAAACAGCCTAATAACAAAGTTTAAGAGGAGGTTTAAGCTATTTCTTCTTTCTTTCAATTGATTTAACTTTCAAGTAGACAAGTAATAGGAACTTATTGTGCAGCGGAAGAATTCTTTTGTTCTTACGCGACGTCATTAGTAAAAGTCGTTGGAATAGCGCTCAGGATTTAATGGATAAAATAAAATTATATAGTTCTCACTTTGATAAATCTCTTCCTAATGGTGAGTGGCTTTATAAATAGAACTTTTAAAAATGCGATATTAAGCCTTACCTCTATTTGTCACCTTTTTTTTAAGAAATGATTATCGGAAATATTTTCAGAAGAGTTCTTTTTATTATAAGAGAAGAATACGAACATGGTAGGAAAACTAAAACAATTTCTATCTTTTGGGCCATGATCCACGTTTCCTTTAATATCTTACAATAGTAACTTCTAACCGTAACGCACTTGAGCGTAGATCTTCAATGGTCGATAGGACTCAATCACTGATTTCTTTTATAGATACGGATAAAAGAAGAGATTACACGTAATTTTTGTTTTTATAATTGTAGTTTCTTTAAGTTAACCTTTCCTGTAGAAAGCAACGTATTAACATTTTACCGAAAGTAATGGAAGCTATCAATGACTTGCTAGAAGAACTTGCCACTAGGCATTGACTATCCTTTATTTATTAACTTTATATAATTTTCAGGATAGATTTTTTTAATTTTATCTATTATAAATAAAATAATTATTGTAAGAATGCCTAAGTTTTTGACTTTTTGTTTCAGAAATTTCTAACAAATCCCTTAATTTTCGCAAGTTATTTGAAATACTTTTATTAGTATAACACAATTATACTTTAAAAATTTTGAAAATGTAATTCAAAAATTACACTGATTTGATCTGTTCTTTTAGTTTCTTCAAGTTTTATTTATTTAAGTTAAAAATGAAATAAAGCGTTTTATAATTTGCATGTAGTCGACATGATATTGCGGTTGCTGCCACTGATTTAATCCATGCGAAAGAAATTATATTAACTTTTGGGTACTCTTACACGGGTAATAGTATTTTATATTTATCGGAATGAATTAGTATAATACAAATATATATTAGCTGAAGAGTTTTTTTTATGCGCTGCTCGGTCCCTCACCACGGACTTTCAAGTAATTGTTGTTGAGGCGGCGCCATTACATGATGGTATTTCCTTTAACTTTCTTTGTCTTCCGCCTTTTTATTTAATGTAGACCTCGAAAGGTATTCGTCTGGCGGCCAAACTTGCAGCAGCAGGAATCGAGACAACCGTCATTGACGGTGATCTTTTTATTTTTAGAGAAGATGAGCGATAAGCTTATATGTACACTTAAGATTCCGCAGTTTACGCTCTTATGTCACGTGTAAATAAAGTCATCATTGGGGCCCACTCCGTTATGGCGGATGGCGGGATCATGGTCACAAAGTTTTTTTTATGAGTCCTTCCTGGAGATATCTCCTATTTACGCCTAAAGGCGGCCAGTGGGACATACTCTGTTGCTCAGGCAGCCCATCACTTTTCCATTCCCATCATTGTTTGTGCGGCCATCTATAAGTTGACCCCACGTTACCCCACGTGCGACACCGACGAACTGAACGTCCTGGTTTCACCTAGCGACTCCCTACCTTATGGTGGGACTCCATCTTCTTTTCTTTTACAAATTTTTTTAAAATTTTTTATATATTTATCCTTACTTCTGGCTTTCCTGCAGCGGGCGTTTTGGACTCTGTAAAAGTCTATACCCCAGCAGATGATTACGTCCCTCCGAAGTTAATTGAGCTACTTATCACAAACTAGTAAGATCCAATAACTTCCCTTTTTTTTGCTTTTAAACCTTTTTTGTAGCGGTGGCTATGCCCCTTCTTATATCTACAGACTGCTTCGTGAGTATTACCATCCTGATGACATGTTTGATTAATATTTTATATATTACTCCGCTTTGAACAAAATTTTTACCCTTAATGAATTCAATAAATTCAAAGACAGGATTATGAATAACTTATTTATATACACATGCTAAGCAAAACCATTAAGGCAAGATGCTTATATTTTGCTGCTAATATATTATTTAAAAATGCTTTAAAGTTTAATATATATATATACTTAAGTTTTACTTGAGCCAAAGTATTTGGACAAACTTAACATCTGGACCTAGAGGAGTTCCTTGGGAGCTTTTTCTCTCGAAAGCCATCTTTATGAGGAACACAGCTATCGGGGCCTTAACTTATTTTATTTATCTTCCTATACTATGAATTTTGAATATGGGATCACGATTATAACCTTTTTTAGTGAGGGTTGAGTTTTTAAATATCCATATGGTTGAGCTTTCAAGTTTTGTTTACCGCCACTTCTATGAAGTTATATTATAACTATTTCATATACTATTTCTTTTGGGGTTCTTGATATGTATAATACTACCTTTACTTTTGGTGGCAAAATATTCTTTAGCCTCTTAATCATATAGGAAATATTGTTCTTCAAAGTTAAACATCAATAGTGAGCTTAGTGAGGGTTAGCCCCGATGCCGTTAACTAGGCTGAAATTTATTTGTAACACCACTTGCTGCATGATAGGGTAAAAGATATTACACCTCCTTCAGGTGAAATGAGTGGCCTTAGTTCTCCATGAGACTAGCAACACGGGGTTACTATTAAAAAAATAACTGAGTATTTATTTAAGCCATTGTTACTGGGTATGCCGTTAACTAGCAATATTTCGGCCTTGCTTAACCCTTTGATATGATATCGTAAGGAGGGTAAAAAAAATAGCTTTTTTTAATAATAGTTAGCATGTATTTGAGTTTACTTTACTAAAAGTTTTAAAACATGGTTTTTCGAACTCCGTAGTTACCCATGCATTAACCACTTTAATAAAAAAACTTTATTCGGTTCGAGGGAGAAAGATAAGAGAGTAAATGAGGAAATATAAGTTGTGAGACAGAAAACAGCACATGGATGACACGTTCTTTATCAGAGTTAATTCAAAGACGGTTTTCTAATTGCTTCCTCAAAAAACAGAGAGGTTTATTGAGGTTAGTGGTATCATTTCCCCTATTGAGTTAGGGCATGATGTCAAAAAACTAAGAAAGCGACTTTGATACTTAAAGTAAATGTCGCACAGCTAAATATTAAATATGAACACCTGCAGTAGTCCATGTTTAAATTTTTTTTTAGCGTACGTTTAAAGGTACACAGACATAACTCAAATATGAACTTTTTGTTTAATCTACACTTAGCGTACTTGTTATGACGTCATTGACGATCTTTGCGAAACTGCAGAGTAATATAGTTGATAATTTACCGCCTTTAATGAATTTTCTTCTAAATACAGAAACTAACTAAGAAAAGTGCTCTTTTAGTACTGTCGTTTAATTAACTAAACCAAGTAATGAGTATTATTAAATTGATTATTTTAGCAAAGCAACGGGCGTAGTTTGGGTGCTGCTAGTAAGTTTACCAATTGTGCGTAATAATATCATCTTAGGGATAACTACAATCTTTGGTAAATTTCTTAAAGCTATTGGATATCATAGTATAGACTTAATATAATTACAATATATTAAATTAAAAAAAATGTTATCCTTTATTAAGTTATATGTACGCCCCCTGCTCTCAATAATTAAGTTATTAAGCTCTTCATACTAAGTTTAATGAATTCTTAAAAAGAAAAGAGCTTATAGAGTTAAAGGATGGTAAGTTTAAATAGAAATATATCAGTTATTTAGCTTTAATGGTCACTTAGCAGAGCACTTGAAATTTAACTTAGAAACAAGTATCCTGTAGCAGTGAACTTTATCAACCGACCGACAGCGTGATAACAATCGAGAAAATTGGTTGAGCAATCGTCTAGCCTCTTAGCCATTATTGCTCGTTTCAAAGATGGCTGCTTCCGATATAGCAGCCTACATACTTAAATTACCGATTAGTTTATCTATTCTAATATGGGCTTTGTTAAAGCAAAGCTTTAGTTACAAACACATTCAAAGTTTAGAGAAAAGTTATTTAAAATTTTACAAAGGCTTCAGCACGTCGAATGAAGTGACCTTCGCAGCTAGAAAAAGGTTAACTTAATACTCTTTTCTCTTTATTTTCTACTTTATTTGACTAGTGTACTATGTTAGCTAACATTGACCTTTAAATTTTTTAAAAATATATTACGTGATTTTATAGTTGCCATTTTTATCGCTCTACGAAAAAGGAGTTTTACTAATTTTTGTTCAATAACAACCGCAACTCAAACTTTAATAGCAATTATGCAAAGATGACTCCTCTATTTTATGGCCTAATAACCGATTTTTACGAATTTGGTTGGGGCCGCTCTTTTCATTTTGCACCGCGTTATAAATGCGAAACTTTTAAGGAAGCAATGACGCGTTACGAGCACTTTTTTGCTGCTAATTTCCGTTTAGACTTAACCTCGAATGAAAAGCAATGTATACTAGATGTAGGCTGCGGAGTTGGAGGCCCAATGCGCACAATTGCTAAGTTTTTTAAGTATCGCGTCTCAATCACGGGTGTAAGTCAATTTTGTTAAAAGTTTTATAAACCTTGAGAAATAGTTATTTGTTTTCTTAGGTCAACATTACTCACGAACACATTAAACGGGCACTCGTTTACAATGAGAGGGAGGACATCAAAAATTGCAATTTTATTGAGTGTGACTTCAATACCATTCCAGTTCAGGATTCAACTTTTGATGCAGGTTTTTTTAAAACCATTCTAATTAATATGATTTTATCACATCTTATTCATTCCAGCCTATGACATGGAAGCGACTCTCCACTCCACTGACTTGGAGACAACTTTTAAAGAAATATATCGTGTATTGAAGCCTGGAAAAATATTTGTGAGCGCACAGTATTGCTTAAAAGAGGCCTACCGCCACTCTGAGCACCAAGACATAATTCGCATGATTGATAATCTTAACGGTTAATCTTCATAAAGCTTCTGCACACCATTATGAAGCTTTACATAATTAATATAGGCTGCTACATTTCTGGAAGAACGGCGCAATCTACTCGAGAGTCTTTTCAGAAGGTGGGTTTTGAGATCCTCTTAGACGAGGACGTTTTTGAAAAGATTGCAGGAAGCGACTACAATTTTCACGAGAGTCTTGAAGATGCTAACGGTTATAATATTTATATACTATGTTTTGGTTATGTTAAATATTATTTACAGGTGTCAACTTTGCCACTTCGAATATTGGCATGTTTATCACTTCGAGTTTCTGCTATATAGGAGAAACATTGAAACTTTTACCAACGGTTTATTATTGAAGGGTACTTTTATAATATATTACATTACTTAGTATCACCTTTAGGGAACAAGTGCAGTGCAAAAGTTACTATCTCAGTCTGCGGAGTTGTGGAAAGTAGCTGGCAGACTTAAAATAGTGACGCCGGGGCATCTCTTTATAGTTCGGAAGCCTTTACACAACTATTAATATAAAGCTTGCTTTTCTTGAAGTAGTTTTAGACTTTCTTATATGCTCACCTACTGGTCCGCGTAAATTATAACAATTTTATTGTATGTGTACGTTTACGAAAGACCTCATGGAGTTGGAGTTGTTTGGTTTCGCATGCTCAAGTTTGAAAGTGTAAATAAGCCTGCAACGGCCTCACAAGCGATTTTTTTAGTGTGGGATCGTGATTGTGTGTAAAGATGGGTCGTACTCCTTTTTTGAATATCTGGCGAGCAATATCGCTCGATTCTCTATTATCTTTAAAATTAACTATAACAATTGCATCAGAATCTATATAGATATCTCTGGGAACAAGGGTGGTATATTTATATATTAGGTACTAATATTATTTTAAACAGTGCATACTACTAGCACTATTTTGGTTATTCCGTAACATTGTTAAATTAAAAAGTCTCTACAACCGAGGATATCTTAGCTCTCGTGCGCAATTAATCCTCCGTTTCACTGGCAACCACTTTTATGTTTCAATTAAAGTGAAACTAGCCCTTTTAAGAAACTAGTTTGAGCCTCGTGAACACCTTTTTAATATTAGGCTCTGTTAAGAAAACTACTCAATTAAGAAGCCTTTATTTCCAGAACTAGTTACATTTTACCAAGTTATGTACTTTCTAGTGTTATGTTAGTTAGCATCCTACTAATTTGGAAGCATTCTAGCTGACTCACCAATTGGTTTAATAAAGAGTGCTTCCTTATTATTATTAGTGCAACTCGAGTATTCTACTTATCCCTACAAGACGGGTTGGACCACTCAACCTCTCTCTCTACTGCCTCTATATCTTGTACTTGATAAGTGGTACATCTATCCGGGCTAAGCTAAGCTAAGTTGAGTACTAACTGAAACCTAGTTCTATTATCTAATGTTATGCTCTATGTGGTCTTGTGGTCTTGTATTAGTGCTTCTTAGCTAACTTGGAGTTAACTTAGGAGCCTCTTCATTAGGAGTTTGGAACTTAGGGGTTAATATTAGCGTTTTACGATTGAACCAAGCATTACCAGTTACTAGTACTTATTTAGATTGACCAGAGTATTTACAGTTTGTTTTTAAGTAGTTGGTTAGCTTTTTCTCCTTGCGGGCTACTGGGACATAACTGTACAATTATTGAATATAAAATTTTTCTCCTTATCAGGTATCCCCAAGAAAGGGGTTTTTTTTGAAGAGTCGTTTACTTAAAGAAGAATTATTACTCGATACAATGCAACTTTCCCTGGGTCATTGCCGACTAACAAATCTTTTTTAGCATTCTTGGGTGGTTATAGTTAGTAACCAAACAAGCCGAAGTTAGCTTCTGATAAGTCTGAGAGCGGTGTGGTATGCTTACATTAAGCAGGATTGAAACTTGCAGGGTTAACCTGGTAAGCTACCGGCAAGTAGCGTACTAATGAAACGACACTGATAAGAGGGCACCCTTCCAGTGCCATTAATATGCTTATCTACTGAAGTTGAACTCCATAATCTAACTTTGGCAAGTATTAACGTTTGATAACTAGGGCTTGTTATCTTCCGCTCGGTTTAGAGTGGCTTTGGATTGAAAGAATTCTTTTAAATTTTTATTAGTATTGGGTTTAGTACTGTACATAATATTATTGTTACCAGTGCTCTTAGATCGAGTCAAAGTAATTATTTCTAAATAACCGAATTTATCACTGTAAGGGAGGTAAATAGTTACTTCGTATGCACCCGATCTCATCCCATCCAACTTTATGTCGTTGATAACTTCACCGTCCTTAAATTCAACGACATATCAATTTCTTTTTATGCCAGTTATTCTACCAGTCAAGGATTTTTTGCTTTCGACCTGGGTTCTTTGATTTATGATAGGGTTTTTCGTTTGTAGGGGAGATGTCCTATTTTCTTGACCATCTCCCTATATCCTGTCTCAGTCTCTGACGTTTTGTCTCTCTCTTCGCGCCAATCACGATGCGAAATCCCTCCCCCCATTGGAGTCTTTTTTATGTTTGCATAATGGCAAAAATATGCGTTTTTTAATTACTCTACCAGTCTATAAGTTGTGAATCTTAAAACAACGTCCACATGTGTCAGCTGCTAGGCTAAGTATCCTTAGGCCCGTTGTCCTCTAGTTTTCCTGGTTTAGTATCTTGAAAGATGACTCTCGTGCTAAACATGACTAGTTTAGTTATTTCGGGTTTAGTGCCAAAAAAGTTCTTAAGCTTGAGATGTCTGGTTAACTATTAAGGTGGTTTGACTCATTGCTTCTACCCAAAAGACTTTTGACAAATTAGCACCTAATAGCCCCGCTTTCGATCATGGATTTTAGTGTGCCATTGTAACTCTCCGCTATCGGTTTGTGATATGGAGTGTGTGGTGCTGTATAGGTGGGAGTAATGCCTCTGACTTTACACATGTAAACTCATTTATCCGGGTCGAATTCAGACCCATTATTACTGTGAATTTTTTTTGATTTCATACCTATTCCCCAATGTTTTATCCAAAAAATTTTCAACCACCAAATAAACATTTTTCTTGCCTTTCAAGAAGTTGACCTAAACAAATTTAGTTTTTTTACAAACCATCGTGATGGCCCAGATATATCCGCCAATAGACTCGGGATAGGGCCGTGTAGGTCTTCATCTATTTCTTCGCAAGTGTTAAAGTAGAAATAATCATTTATCTGCCTTCGATTATCTTCGGTTTTCTTTATATTGACCTCGGCACATACGTCGCAATTCAAAGTGCTGCCGTCAAAGTTGTGAACAATGCCATTGTTTTTTAAAAACCTTTGATCTTTTTGATATCGATGTAACGAATGTGTTTCAAGCCAAAACATAGCCCCACTGGTCACACTATCTCTTTGGTCACCTCATAAATTCCTTCGCTGTTCCTAGAGCTAAGACCCATGGCGGGATTTTAGTAAGCTCGCCTTGCAGTATTGAGTCTTCTTTGATAACGATCGCTTTTTCTTTGTCAAAACCACACTATTTCTCCTTTATCATACAACTTCCCCTCGCTAAGTAAATTATTATCGGTTTCGGAAATAATTTGCGTAGAAACCTTCACCTGTTGCTAAAGCGTTTTCAGATCTCCAAGTACATATTCTTTAATATCCCTAAAACCTTTTAGAATGGATGCATAATTGACTACATGATAACTAGCACCAAAGTCAAGAATAAATTTAGAATGTCCTTTAGTTGCCTTAAGAGCTGATTCCAAATGTGTTTTCGTACTGCAGCGGGAGGCTGTGTGTCCAATTTTATTGCATTTATAGCACTTCTTGTCTCTGAAAGGAGATTCCTTTTCATTATGCTATAGTTACCACATCTTTGACACCTGTTCCTGAAATAACAGTCTTCTGAATGATTATCCCTTTTACAAATTGTACATTTCTGGCTATTACTAAAATGTTTTCGCGTAAAATTTTTATCTTTTTCCTTACCGCCCCTTAAAGCGGCTTCTTGTTCGCCCTTTTACTCGGGAACGACTGCAGGCAACGTGCCATGCCTCTCATTTATAGAAGCTCGAGGTATGATATGTTAGTGGTAGAATCTCCGATTTCATGAATTTGTCAATTTAAATAATCCTAGTTGGGTTTATCCGGAAGAGCATATTAACTGTCTTTTTTCATGTGCTCTGAGATTTTAAAACCATAGTTGTGTGAGTGTATACGCTCGACTATGTTATTTATTCTTTCTTGAAGCGAAACCATTGATCCGATCACGCAAGTTTCAATTCCATTAATTCCTTTTCGAGGCCTACTCTAGTGGTCGGTATCCTTACGTTTACACTTTTTTCGAGTTCTTCCTATAATACTTTTACTTCATTCAGCTTTAAATTACTCCATTTCATAATTTCAACAAGGTCTTACTATTGGAAAAAGACCCTTGTCGATAGAGCTTATCATGGCGTCCGATACTATAGTTATCTTGTCTTCATCATCTAAGGTCGGGTCGTAAAGAGCAATTAGACTTTCTTCTAAGGTAGGAGTCAACCTGGATTTCCAGTGGGATATCAACCATCGTTTTTAGTTTTTCATGTACGCTGAAATACATGGCGTTTGCTTAATGGGTATAGTTTGAACTCTTGATCTTTTATTAGGGTATTTAAACCTTTTAAGCCTTGGAAATTAGCTATACACAGATATATATATAAGGTACAAAGTTGTACGGACGAGTCCACCACGAAAGCGCAGGGAAAAATTAATGCGACCAGTTTATTTTTAAGCGATTGTCACTTATATGCTAGTAATTTGGCTATAAAACAATTAAAAACAATAAAAAGAATTTCCTAAAAATGGCAAGTTGCGTTAAAAATTATGAATTGGGATCTTTTCTCAAGATCGAGCCATCATGTCGATTGTGCGTGATGAAGCGTTACCATATAATTATCTATTAACGCCTAGAGGACAGAATCTTTTAAGTGTCCTCCGCGGAATTTATCGCGATCTTGACGTCCAAATCATCGTTGGAAACTTAAGCACGCAAGGTATCTCGTCTCTCTACGTGGCAAGGATGCACATGGAGGGCGCTGTCAATGGAAAAAGCACGGTTCGAATCTATACCATGGTTTTAGTTCATATACCAACTTGTGATCGACAAAAGGCTGTTGGAGTTAAAGAGCTTTTCATCTTTAGGTTATGGTGGGATAGCTCCGAAGTAGTATCGAGACTGACAGTACCACCGCTGCTAGGCCATTGGGAAAAGTGCAAGTTTTTCTGCTCTGTTGATTTCTAACGCGTATAATATAGCGAAGGCCACTTGACAGCCCAGCGCACAAAAGCACGAAAAAGGCCTGCCAGTCGTGCAATTTCGGTGAAGCGCACACCGGCAACTATAGTGACTGCCAACACTTACTCGAGAAGACTTAATTAGCCAATCAAGCTTTCATAATTGCGTTTTAAAAGCAGTTTTCTTCTAATGTAACTCCGTCAATTTCTTATGCCTCTCGCTTCGCAAGAAAGGCAACTTCCCAGACAAATCCCCCAGATAGCCGTTAACAACACTTCATCTACTGC